CCCTCCCTCTCTCTCTCTCTCTCGTCGTCGGGAGAACGAAGCTAAGGAGACGTAAATGGCACTGTTCCCGCCCTTGTACTCCCACGTGGGTATTAATCCTTTTAAGGTGACATAAAACGGAGTGACTCTCGCGTTGCGTTTATGGCGAAAAACCGTAAGGGCGGGAAGACAAGGGGGGGGGGGTTAACAGAAGTAACGCGGAAATTGCGGTTTCAGCGAACCATCATATCGACACCTCCAATTGCACCCAATAGCGAGGTATTGCTTCCCAATTAATTATATCGCCCTGTAATTGAGAGCGATCGATGAAACACGCGGTACTTATTGAATATTTCATTACTGGAATATCATTTCATCGGCGATCAAGAAGTGGTCTAGAAAAATAGGATCAAACAATTCAAAATTTATACGGAGAGAACAATTTTGCTGGATCCAGATCTGAAAATAATTTCTGTTCAATAATCAAAATAATCTTGTTGGAAAGTCGAAATAATCGCTTAGAATACACCAAAACGTTTTACGGCCATGCTTATCATTTTTAACATTCCAACAAAATTTTTTGATGATTCAACAAGAATTAATTTTCAGATCTGTTTTCAGCAAAATTTTTAGACCTTTCAACAAAATTGTTCTTTCCGTGTAACTAGTTTTAACGACTTCGATGACTTCTTATTGTTAGTACTAACGAAAACTGCGATTTGTTTTAAGGAAATGTGTTTTATTAATAAGAAAATATTAATCAATACCGAGAAAAAAACAATGAAAACACTTAAAAGAAAAAAACTATCAAATAATCTACGTGGAATTAATATTAAACATCTTATCTATATAATCTCTTATTGTGCCTCTCGAATCTTTCTCTTAGCTCTCTCCTTCCATTACGTCTCGCGACAACGAAGTAAATTTCCGAAGAGGGAAACCAAAAATTTATCTGCACGCACGGAAAGAACGATTTTGCTGGAAGGTCTAAACATTTTGCTGGATACAGTTCTGAAAATAATTCTTGTTGAATTATCAAAATAATTTTGTTGAAAAGTTAAAAATGATAAGCACTTTTAACTTTCCAACAAAATTATTTTGATATTCTAGCAATCCAATTTAACTTTCCGACAAAATTATTTTGATTGTACAACAAAAATTATTTTCAGATCCTGAATCCATTACACTGAAAAAAATTTTGCAATTATAGCGAGAATTATTTAGGTACGAAAAATTAGCTAAAACGGATAAGTGATTAGTAAGCACTGCGATACCACATATGTTTTGTATTTAATCAATACAGATAACAAAAACAGAAATTATATCTGAACTATTTGTCAAATTTAACAAGAATTTAGCAAGAAAGTTTCTCTATGACGTTTAATCAGACTCCAATCCAGACTCCAATCATATTTGGTTGTGAGACCTATATTTTCTTGCATACATTTTTAGAATATTGCTGCTATAAATTCTACGTATGACAAACAATTTAAAAAAAAAACAGCGATATAATTGAAGTGTAATATTTAGAATTCTAATTGGAACAGCGAAACAATTCTCTGAGTGTAAAATCGTTCTTTCCGTGGCGCGGCAGTCGGCACACATTTTACGGATTCGCATAGGGAATCTCCGACACAGAGGTCAATCGGTTTGTTTCCGCCTGAATTAACGGCCACTCTGACATTTCAATTACTCACTCTTGCTTAACCGGAGGCTAGATATAACAGCGCAAGCTAAAGCGCATAATGTGTCATATCTCAATCGTAGGTGATCGATATATAGGTAACAACAATCGCGGGTGGGCGACAACAGCTAGCCCGCTTTCTCTCTCTCTCTCTCTCTCTCTCTCTCTCTCTCTCTCTCTCTCTCTCTCTCTCTCTCTCTCTCTCTCTCTCTCTCTCTAAAATAATACATAACATTTCGATTATACACATGATCGTACAACATGATATCAACGTTGATCGACGCAAAATATCGTCGATCTATTCCGAAAAAATATCACCAGTGTAATCAAAGTATATAGTTAACGATCGCGATAATTGGAAAATCACTACTCTCCTTCATCCGATCCATCCCTCTCGCGTCAGCGATTGTGCTTATGATCGCCGTCGTCGCCCTTCTTGAAGCTCCACTTCTTCCCGTGCTCGTGCCCCTCCTTCTTGCCGTGCTTGTGATCGTGATCGTAATGATGATCGTGACCCTCGTCGATCTTGTGGCCCTTGTGCTCGTGATGATGGCCGCCCTTCTCGTGCTTCTCCTCCTTGCCGTGCTTCTCCTCGTGATCCGCGCTGTCGTGATGCCCCTTCTTCTCGTGGCCGCCCTTCTTCGACTCGTGCTCGTGATGGTGCTCGCCGTGCTTCGCCGCCTCGCCGTCCTCGTGGAACTCGTCGAAAAACTCAGTGTTCTTCTCGTACTCGTCCTGTAAAGCAGCAGTAATATCGCCGCAATCGCGCAATATTTTTTATTGAGGAGAGTTCCAGCGCTACTCTCTAGTCGATAAATAATTTATTCTTAAAATTGTATAAAACAATTAGAATAATAAAATTATTAAAACATTATCAACAATATCTATTTTGCTAATGTCATTATACATTTATTATTAATTTTATATATCAGTAAATATTTTTTAAATGACAAAATAAAAAGTTATATAAGGCTCTCATTTGCTTAAGTACGAGTACCAACAGCAGAAAATGAAATATGAGTATGATATTTATAAATTATAATTTACTTATTATATCTTTAAAAAATGAAAAACAAAATATAATCTAAATTAAAAATGTATAAATTAACATTTTTATCATAAATTTGTCGTATTTTTATTATTGCATCAAATATATATCATTTGACAATTAATTTAATTCGAAGGTCTCTGAGATAACAAATCAGATGAAATGAAATGTGCCAATAAGAGCCAAATACAGTAGTTAAAGCATAAGAAAATAACTTTATTAATAAAAAAGAGAGATCACAAACGTTTCGACCCTTTGATTTAAGTCCTCTTCCCTGAAAGGACTTCCTTGAAGAGGACTCAAACCAAAGGGTCGAAACGTTTGCGCTCTCTCTTTTTTATTAATAAAGTTATTTTCTTACGCTTTAACTAACTGCGTTTGGCTCTTATTGGCACACTTCATTTCATCTAATTTACATCATTTGATGTTGCCACATGTACACCTTATCTTATTTGACAAATATTCTTGTTTTTTGTCATCAAAAAATTTCTCTCAAACTATACGGTCAATTCAGATGAAACTTCTTTACCAAAACAAACTTAAATGTTTACCTTGTAAATATAACAATTTTTAAATTTCTGTCTTATATGCAAATATTTCAAATTAAGAGAAAATGTCTACAAAATAAGGTTTATGTGTATATATTTATCATGTAAAATACTATTTAGAGTTAAATATCTTCAAACTGGTACGGTAAAAGTCAATAAGATTTTTTCTGGATATTATGAATATAATTTTCGTATCATTTTCGTATCATGTATGTATTATGGACTTGTCTTATGTTTCATCTAAAGCTGAAACCTCCTAAAATTAACACAAAGTCCAAAGTCGAGACGTCTAAAACTGTTAAAAACATCCTTGCAAGAACCGTCTAAAAGACATCATCTTACGTCCCGATTTTAGACTCTGTACGTTTAGGCATTTCTTATGTCGCACACATTACCTTCTTGTGCACCGAATGTTCACCATGGGTAGTGTGGCCCTTCTTATGCTCGCCTTTCTCGCCGAATTCCGCCGTCTTCTTGCCATCTTCGTCGTGATGATGCTCCTCGTGATATCCACCCTCCTCCTCGTGTTTCTTCTCCTCGCCGTCTTTCTCGTCGTAGTGTTTGCTGGCCTGTTCCTTGTCGTGATGCCCCTTTTCGGCCTTCTCGTGCTCGTGCCAGACTTTGTATCCCTGCGGCAAACAGAAGATCATTAATTAAAATCTGCCAAAACTACGAATAAAGTTTGATAGATAAATGTTTGAATGGACTTACCCGTACAGAAATATAATACCAAAAGGATTACCTTTTGGTATTATATTTGATATGTTTGATACATTTGATATTTGATATAATGATTATTGATTAACTTATTTTGAGCTAGTGTGCGTCTGATGAATACATCCAATATTCGAATAAATGAATAAATAATAAATATATAAATATACGAGTATAAATACTACTTTCCTTACATTCATGGAAAATTGAATAAATACTGTTTAAGCGATTTAAATGAATATATATTTGTGGATATGATTACGAATATTTTCGGTTTCGCATTCACTCTACACACTAAAATATTCTGCCTTCGAGCTTGGTTTAAGTTTAGGAAACACGATGATACCGAGGGAAGAAAATGAGAGTTAATTAAGCCGATGCTTTTATTGGAAATTCTGAGGAATCTATTAATTAAATAATACATTTTATTTAGCATCCACAAGATGCAAAAGCGCTTAAGACACCTTCTGGAATTAACATTACTGTTATTTTAATTCGTATGAAATTTTGCAGTGTTTGTATATTTTGATTTGCAAAAAAAAAATAAAAATTATGTATCATAAAAATAATTATTATTGCGAATGAAAGACTTTTAAATACAGTTTTTTTGTTTCTAAAATTTTTTTTTAAATGTGTATGTTTTTTTTATCAAATCTGGATATTATATATAAATAACGATATATAAAATTTGTTTTTCACTTTCTTTTTTACTTTACATTTTGTATGAATAAATATAAATAAATCGTAAAATAATCATAAAATATTCATGAATAAATATTTTTAAAAGTTCGAATAAATATTTAAATGAATATTTTTTTAATGCGAAAATTTTGAATGAATATAAATTGTAATTCAATTACAAATTTTTTGTATTTATCGGACACACTATTTTAAGTATTAAAAGCATTGAACAACAGTGCTTTTAATACTCAAAATAAGTAATTAATCATTATCTTCTAGTATAAAATTTTTGTAAGGGTAAGTCCATTTAAACGCTCGTTTATCAGATTTTATTCATTTTTGGCAGTTACTAATGATCTCCTGTTTGCCGATTTTGTAAGGATATATAAAGCAAGTCCGCTTAAAGATTGCGTTCATTTATTAAACTGTTATTCAATACTTTCAGTACTCAAAATAAGTAATTTCGAGTGTTAAATTAGCCAGTATTAAATTGGATAAGGGTAATTTACCTTCTCGCCTTTCTCTCCCTCATGCCCGTGGTGCTCCTTCTCATGTTCCTCACCTCCACCTTCCTCAAACTTGTGATCTCCTCCATCCTTCTTTTTCTCGTGGTGCTCCTCGTGTTTGTGCGCGTGTTCCTGAGTCTCGCCGTGCACGTGATCAGCCGCTTCCTCTACACCACCTTGAGCATCATCCTGATCTTTATTATCGTGTCCATGATGATCACGATGATCATCCCTGGCGCGCTGACGATGATATTCCTCGCGTGTGTGAGCGGGATTAGTTTCGCCATATTCCTCGCGCTCTTCGCGAGGCAAGTAGTCTCCTCGCGGAACCGCCTGATGACGGTGATACTTGCGCTTATCATCGTCATCGTTCTGCTCCTCCTCCTCGTATCTCTCGTCTTGTCCGTAAAGATGTTGATCCTTAGAACGCCGAGCGAACGGTTGGCCGACAGCAGCTCTCTCGTCTTCAGATTCTTTATACTTGCGACCCTGTCGATCTTGTCGGTCTTCTCGATCTTTCTCGTGCTGCTTATCGGCCCTTAATTTCTTTCTGTCAGAGCGATCGCGATATTCTTTATCCCGCTCATGAATTTCCTTACTCCGTCCATCGTTATATTTATTGTTACTTTCCCCTAATCGAGCCCCAATATGATACTCGCGCTCATCATCGTCATTGTTCCGCTCCACCTCGTATTTCTCGTCTTGTCCGTGAAGACGTTGATCTTTAGAACGCCGAACGAACGGTTGGACTTCGGCAGCGCTCTCATCTTCAGCTTCTTTATATATGCGATCTTGTCGGTCCTGTCGATCTTCCTTGTGCTGCTTAGCGCCCTCTAATTTCTTTTTGTCAGAGCGGTCGCGATATTCTTTACTCCGCTCATGAGCTTCCTTACTCTGTTCGTCATTATACAGTGATTTAGAATATTTACTGTTACTTTTCAATCGATCCCCAATGTCGCTTTCATGCTTATCGCGACGATCCTTCGGTTTGTCATATTTCTTACGATCGTAGCGTGGCCTCTCACGCTGCGCTTCGTCAGAATTGTCCCTATCATATTTATACTTATTGATTGATTGATCGTATTGATAATGACGACTATCATTGCCTTTATCTTTATTTCTTCTGTCATATTCTTCTTCTTCTTCTTCTTCTTCTGTTTCATCGACTTCTTCTTCATCATTGTTATTCTCACGCCGAACATTCTCATCTTTTTCTCGTCTATCGTCATTTTTACTGCCGTTATTTTCATTATATTCATAACGTTCATCTTGACGTCCATAACTACGGCTCTGCTGCGGATAACGATCTTCCTTCTCCTCCTCTTCGCGATCTTCCCTCTCGCGCTGTTTATTCGACGTCTTGTAAACTTTATAAGCCCCTCGATCGACTTGAGTTTTATAATTTCCGACGTTGTCATTATCGTCGTAATCTTCCTCCTCAATCTCGTCGTCCGCGTCTTCAGCGCGAGGCCGCTCGTTCGTCTCGACCTTCTCGTCGTTACTCCTCTTACGCTCTTCGTCTGCGTCTTGCGAGACGAATAATCTGCTGTCGTAATACGGTGTGGATTTGGAGGTGGCGATCGGTCGAACTTTCAGCAACGTGGGAGCGAGAGGCTTCAAAGTTGCGTAAGGACGGGCGGGAACTTGCGACGACGGCGCTGCCGGCTGCCTAAAGTCTGGCGTAATTGCTCGCGGCGCGTTGGGGAGCGCATTGGGGATGTTAGCCGAGTGCAAACTCGCGAATTTGTCGTAGCGCGCGATTATTCCGGCGTTTTCATTTAAACTCGACCTCCCGGCCTCGCGGGCATTGTCGTAGGCGGCGATTCCCGGCGAAGAGTCGCTCCTGCGAGCGCCGGCCTGCAGCGAGACCTTGTTCTGCCCTTGTTGTTGTTGAACGCCGGTGTTGAACGGGGCGGCGGACGTTTGACCGGGTATGTAAGTTGCCGCGAAGTTGATCGCTCCGCCGGCGCCGGTGACAGTCCGCTCGGTCGGGCTCTCTGCGATGGCTCTGTAATAACCCGACGGGTCGTAGCTTCGCTGGCTATCTGCAGCGGTGGTGACCGAAGGACTGGTCGTGGCGCCAATCACGGCTTTGTAAACGGCGTCGTAATTCGCGAGGGTGGTTCTCTCCGCCACGGGGGGACTCGCCGGCGGACTTGCCTCGGTGGTGCCGACGACCGTCGTCGAGTCGCGAGCGAGATGATTCGCGCGCTTTATCGGGAGATAACGGCGCGCCGCGGGCGGGCTAAAGAGATCCGTCGGAAGTACCAGCGGAAGCACGCTCGCGGAGGAAGAACGGCCGGTGGCCTGTTGCCGGCGATGACTGAAGCTCGCCGGTGAGGGGCTCGGCTTTCCGTACGACGCGTCGACGACGCTCGGGGTGACGAACGAGTCGGGCGATATGGAAAATGGCCTCGGTACCACCTTGTACCTCGGCGGCGATCGAGCGGCGTTCGCGTCGCTCGGGACGTTTAGATTTCTCAGACCTTTTGCATTAATAACGTTGTTGGAGTTACTGTTGTTCAGCAAGGAAGTAAATGGAGTTACAGGCTGAAACGAGAAGTCTCGAAAGGTCCATTTACTGTAACGACTCTTCGGCTCTTCCGTTGGACCGGAATAAACGTTGGATGCTGTTGCAGATCCGTTCTTGCTCCTCGTCTTTCCGTTGGACACCTTGAAGTGTCCCGCGGGCGTGCCGACGGGTTTCCCGGTTTCGCCGGATTCCTCGTCGGACTCTTCGACCGATGAGAATCGCGGAGTTGTGGCGGTGCGATTTAATTGCGAGTACTTTTTAAGTAACCTTCTCGACTTCTTGCCGTCCGCGTCGTGGAGAATGGGCGACGTGAAGGAGGAGTTCACCTCGGGACGCGACCTCTTCTCCGCTCCGTCGCCGTTAGCCGCGGGACGGATCGTCTGCACTTCCGGAACGGAGTAGATTTTCTTGAATTGCTTCACCGCCAGGGATAAGTAGGGATTCGACGTCGCCGCGTCGTTTCTCACCGTCACCGGCGCCTTCCGCGATATGTTTCTCAGCACCTCGGCGTAAGCCTTCTCGAGGTCCGCTCTTGATTTCGCGATTTTACCATCGACATCTGAGGAGTAAATATATATATATATATATATGTATAGGAAAAGCTGCAACTTTCTCCGATATTTCCGCGAAGTATACATAAGGGAAGATGGGGATCCTTCGTACGCTTTTGAAAGTTTTGCTTTTTGCTTCCCAAACTGTGTTAAATGCTTTTACACTACTTAAGTTTGTATCGATAAATAGTATAGATATCCAGTTACAATAAAAACATGCAATTAAAATAATAAATTAATATATAACTAAACGCAGATGATTTCTACAAAACTTGATAATCGTACGAATCTACCCCTCAGCTTCGTACATGTAATAGAGGCACCTATTTACGCATGGAATAGCTTCGGATATAAACATAAAACATTAAAATTATTATTTTAAATATTTATTGATAATTAAAATTTAAATGAAAACAATCTTATCAGTAGCTAATTAAACATCTGTTATAAACTTCTGCATAAAATAAACTTCTTTAAATTAGTATTTAAATCAACGTTGAGATCAAAATTCAAACGTTTAACTAAAATAATTTTTTTAATTAAGTAACAAAATAATATATACATATACGAAAAATGCCCTCGTGCTTGTGTACGAATCTACTCCAAATTCAAAAGAAAATAATTACGTTATTTTTTGTATAATTCACTAACCATATGATAAAATTAATGATTAAAGTATAATTTTAAGACATTTTACTTACTAGAAAAATATTGTTCTTGTTTATAACTTTAATCAAAGATATCTTAAATTACTTGTCAAATACCTTAGAAAATTTACTCAGCAGCGCTAAAACACGTAATATCCTGCTCTGTCGGTTTACGTAGTCCGACCGATATGAAACTTTGCTGGCACGTTACCGCGCAATAAGACTAACTAAATATGTATAGACGTGTTCCAAATCTGCGCGATTCTTCCCGAATCACTGTATATATGTGCCCCGTGCACTATTAAATCTATTGTGTCAAATTGAATCTTATTTAAGTCGCTACTGCTCGTATTTAATAAACAGTTATTTTTAACTAAAACAATAGTTACTTTTAAATAAAACAATAGAATTTAACCCAAATTTTGGTTAAATTTGAACTGTTTTAAATTATTTAACTTCATTGTTTTAGTAAAAAATAACTATTTATTAAGTAGGAGCAGTGGCGACTTAAATAAGGTTCAGTTTAACACTATAAATTTAACAGAGTGTACGAAGGATCCCCATTGCCTCCTATACGATGTATTATTGAATGTTTTCTTCCGTACTTATATTACGTGTAATATTTGTTCGAAAGAAAAGCAATTTCGCTTCGTTTACCGTGAGTGCCGTTCGAGCGATCGACTCCGATTCTCCTCTTGGTCTTCCTCGACGTGAGTCGCTGCGGCTCGTATCTCGCGATCACACGACTCATTATCTCCACGTCGTCCCCCAGATCGTCCACCTCGTCGTGCGGCTCGCTGACGACCGTGGCGCTCGACTGTGCCGCATCCTGATCGCCCTCCCGATCCGACCGCGGCGTCTTCCACGGATATCCGCTCCCCGGCCGTGTCTCGCGCTTGGACTGCAGGAGCGAGAGCACCTCGTCGTCGAGCCTCGACGCGTCCTCCGCCAGTACCGCGTTCGCGATCACGCGCGTGTTATTTCCGCTTCCGGCGACGGTCATCTCCTCCAGGATGACTTTCCGAGGGTCGTTCCGGACGTGCGAAACGTCGCTCGTGTGGTTGCGCGTTCCCGCGTCACCGATTTGTAACGTCAGCTGCAAAATATAGGTCGATGTTAATTATGCGAACTTTATTACATTGTGTAAATATGTAAATCAAGTATACGCATCCCGATGCGAGCGCGTTATATATTGTTTCGCGAACCGCGAAACGTCAATAAAATTTCGGTTCGTTTGAAAGAATATATAATTTGTCTCTCTCTTCTTCAATTATCGCGCGTATTATACTTATACGCTTCTCGCGGTAAGAGCGATAATTATTCGACGAACGCGATGAAATTTATTAGTGCTAAATGTGTCGCGCGCGTATATTAATTAGATTAATGTCAGCCCGGACACAAGATCCCGTGTGTGTTATACACACAATATTCGGCACCGTATACCCACTTTATTGTCCCCGCCCCCCCCTCCCTCTCGCTCCACCTGTTCTAATTAAAAGTTGACGTAAACACGCGTTAACCTTTGCCGCTGACAGCCCCGCGCGAGCGCGTTTGCTGCACATTTACTAGCTGGCGAATTATTTATTTTGCCGTTCGCGGCAAAGGGTGCACGTATATATATATATCGTTAGATACATGTGTGTGTGTACGTCACAGCGTGCCACGAGAGAGAAATTAATCAAATCTATATCGGACAGAGCTTCGCGTCCTTATTCCTCACGTTCGTACCGTCACGTATTTATCGTTTAAAGGCGCTCATACGTGCGTGTGTGTGTGTGTGTGCGCGTGTGTCTTATAGGATTTATACTACCGAGATTATTACCAAGTGAATTAGCAGCAGTAGCACCATGGCCACCAGCTTCCGGAAGGTTTGCATCATTCGAATCCGCGGCAAAGACTGAGCCGCGTTCCCGACGCGGCCGGACAATTATATCGAGCCATTTCCTCGTCTATCAGAAAACCGTTTCGCGAATGATGTGACAGTTTCACAGCGATTAGACCACCTCGGAGTGTGTCTCGCCGAAGGAACCGCGTCGGCAAATCCAGTCCTGCAGCAAATCGATCGGCTCCTTCGATTCGGCTTCCTCCTTTCTCCTCTGTCGCGCGTTGCACAAGATCGTCGCTCGGCCGGAGCCGAGCCCCGATCTGAAAGCACATCCCGATCTCTCGATTTATTTAGATCTATTATTAACGCGGTGCCTTGTGCAACAACGCGCGCCGCGTAGTTTTTTTTTACACGATCGAAGTATCTCGTAACGCGAGGAGGAAACGGAATTATATCCCCGAGCTGTTATTATACGCGCGCCGACCGACGCGGACGTCGCGATCCGCACGCGGTCTCTTACTTGCACGACTTTCTTCCGTTCTGCCTGATTTTTTTTTATCGGGCGGTTATTATTGCCGCACATCAGCATTTACATGCCACTGAGAAAAAATATTTATTGAAAAATGCACAAAATTTGTTTCATCTTATACCCAAAATATTTAGTCCGATTAACGTTCAACTAAACGTTACTATACGATGACACAAAATAACTTGTTACTGTTATAAACAAAATCCTGTTTTTTTAACTTAACTATTTTGTTTCAAGAAAAATTCATCATATTTAAACTCAACCGTTCGATTAAAAATACACACTATTTATTATATCCCCATCAGCTGCATCGTTTAGTCAGTTTGATACTTGGAATTTGAACAAATATATTAGATAATTAAATAGCAAACACAAATAGTAGTATTAAATAGTAGTATTTTGAACAAAATAATTTAATTGAGTTGGTTCAGTTGATTCTTGATTAAAAAATTTTGATGGTTGACATGAATGAATTTATATATCTTTCTTTGTGCAGCTAAAGAATTGTTGAATCAACCATTGAATCAAGTAACTATACAAATTTAATTAGTACAATCAATTTTTTTTCTCAGTGTGCGATATTTTGCTCACCTACTCGCGTTACTCGCGGCTTATCAAAAAGCGTATAAACGCGTCGCCGCCGCAGGCAGGCGCTCGATCGCGCGCGGAACGCGGCTAGCTGTCGGGAATTGAATTTGCAAATATCGTTCAACGGACGTCAAACGATCGCCACCCGACGAATCCATTAATCGCGGAGAACGCGGAATCAAATTTTGCATCTCCATACATTCGACACATTATCCGGATTTTCGTAATGCCACCGCGGCCGTTCGGATTAATGTCGCGCCTTTGCATGCCAGACACCACTGTGGCGATGTGCATGTAAAGTCGCACGATCTCCTGCGGTTTCCTGCGGCGCGGCCGTCACGTAGAGTATTACTTCAAAGGATATTGCGTGCGAACAGGACAAATTGCGCTAGAATCGCGACAGAATTTGACCGAGCAAATAAGCCATTATTCTAAATCAACGTCAAAGAATGAAACATATACAGTTATCCTTTTATTGTTTTCTTATACAATGCTCTCATAAGTCGATAAACGTTTCTTTCTTCCATCATTTTGCCACATGCTTGCATACGCTATTTCTTCGTTACTTTATTTATTATCTTTCTCATTTATGAAAATATTAATAAATGTTGTATATATGTTTGTATATATATTATTCTTTTAAGGATAACTTTAGCAATTTTCTTCTAAAGCAGCTTCAAGTTTCAAGACATTGTAATTTCAGGATGTGAATGCAGTCTATTCTCGATTAGGCAAAATTAAGATTGATTATGTCAGCCGAAGTGAAAAGAAGTTTCTTGGCGCGACTTTTCACGCGATGTTGCGTCGAATTTCTGCGTGCATTCAAGCCTAAATGGGACAGCTATAGTTGCTTGTACACCGCGTCAACGTTCGGCAACCCCGGGCTGCGCCTTAATTAAAAGACGTAATTGAAGAGAATTTGTTATGCAAGTAGTCGTTGCCAACGGTGGAAACATTTCGAAACTCTCCAGTGAATTCGATTCGAGGGAAGGCGCCTGCAATGGCATTTCGAAATATTGAACGAGAGTTTAAACGGTTACACAATATTAAATGATTATCGTCGTGATAATAATTATATTTTACAATATGTAATATAATATTTTATTTTATAAAAAGTAACACAATCGCGAATTTTAATATAATGTCAGACTTTTCAAGCATAGTATATTATTTTACCATCTAAAAATCCTTCGACTAATTGATGTTTTTTTTTTTAAGAAAAATAACGAGCAGCTATACTTTTAAATATATACTTTTAAATATATTTAAAAGATTGGAAATAAATATGAAGAAGCATTTTAAGAAAAAAAATTGCAATTAAATAGAAACTTCATTTCTATTTTCTTTCATTTTATAATATAATAACTGTATATATTAATAATGTATATATAACCAATTTCTACTTAATATATGTAATAACTTAATTTCAAGTAAAAAAACAAGTGAGTATATTTTAACGAACTTTATGCATGATAAAAATTTGTAGTTTAAAAAATTGGAAACTTGCGAGAAATCTGACGATCATTCTTTCAATAAGATATCAGTTTCTGATTGACCGAAGAATCTATGGACCTACGACCTTCGACCTATGGAAGTAATCCGCAAGATCTTAGATATCGTATATACAGAATTAAGCGCGAATCGATACGACCACGGAATCATAGTTATTTCGTCGGCCGGCGCTCGCCGGTCCCGTGAGCGGAATTCGTGGACCTACGTCAGGCGGCGCGAAGCTGATTCTGACAGTTTTCTGACAATTGATCCTCCACGTCAGGTAGCAAACGGTCCACGTCATCTTGTCTTACGTCATCTTTTAACAATCTCGCAATGCAATCTCCGCGGACCCACCGTTCCCGGCGGTATTCGCGACAACGGATGCTCACTGACCTCGTTACCACGCAACGGGTCTTTCTTATACCCCTCCGTGTGAAATTCAACGCGCGACATCGTAAAAATCGGACGCGGGGGACTCGGAAAGGCGCGGCGGAAACGCCCTCCCTTACCTTCCTCGTCTCGCGCAAATTGAAGATCCCTCCCCCCCGAAAAATTCCCTGGCGATGCAATAATCGAAACAGCAAACATAATGATGGGTTTATTCCTTCTAACTATATAACCCTCTTACAGTCGTTTTTATTCCTCCTTCTCTGTACTGGGTTTGTACCTTCGTATCACTTTAACTCTTCAGCCCCAAGTGTGCACATATTTCCAACTAGGATTAAAAAAACTTTGCAGTCTTAATAACTCAATAACTTTATCATCAATCGGTCATTCGGATTCACGACTGTTCTATCAGTTTTTTATCGATAAACGACATGAGTTATATTAATTTGCGTTTTATTTATTTATTACTTCGCGTTTTCTATGTGTAATCGGATATTAATTCTAAATAGAGTATATTATATAACGGATATTAATTATTGACAGACTGCGTTGATATGAGTTATATTATTTCGTGTTTTATTTATTTATTACTTCGCGTTTTTTATGTAATATCATATATATTAATTATTTAATGTTGGTGGCTGATGAAGACTGTAGTTAAGTCGAAACTGGTATCGCAATCATATACATTTATCTATAGGATATTTAATCTTGATATTTAAATGAAATATATTTATTAGCATACCCATGAATCTTGCACTGAGAAAAAAAATTTGTTGAAAAACGCAAAATTTGTTTTATCTTACCAAAACATTTAATCCAACTACGTTCAACTAAACGTACGATGACACAAAATAATTTGTTACTGTTATAAACAAAATATTATTTTTTAACTAAACTATTTTGTGTTAACAGAAATTTATTTAACTCAACCATTTGATTAAAAATACACACTATTTATTATCCCCATCAGCATCGTTTAGTCAGTTTGATACTTGGAATTTGAACAAATAGTATATTGGATAATTAAATAGCAAACACAAATACATATACTAATACTATTTTGAACAAAATAATTTAATTGAGTTGGTTTAGTTAGTTCTTGATTAAAAAATTTTGATGGTTAACATGAATGAACTATATCTTTTTTTGAGCAACTAAAGAATTGTTGAATCAACTATTGGATCAAACAGCTATACAAATTTAGTTCGTACAATCAATTTTTTTTCTCAGTGTGCTCGTTTACAGCCTCTCAATTTAACATTAATATTTGTCTTTAATAACTTTAAGTAAATATTTTAGGAATAATATAGATATATTATACACATTGCAATAGTAATATAAAAAAAATAACTGCAAATTTTATAAATCCTTCTTAAATTATTTTAAATTATTATCTAGTCTTATTATTTTTGCAAATTATACCCCTTCGTTCATCCGTGCATACATGGATTATGGACTCGATCAACTTTGAGGAATAATTGTCCGGCAGCATCTAGATAAATTTGCGTAAGCATTTAAGGATAATCGTCAAACCGATCGCGGCGCGTGATATGGGCGGATTGACTGTGCACATACCTATAGCAATCGATTGCCAGAGTAAGTTTGATAGTCGGGTAAATTCAGCAGAAAATAGGGCCATCGGGCATACGATTACGTTTTGATCAATCCTCTCGGTAATGTGCCTACGTTATAGTGGGATTACATACCATCGTTCCGAACGATTCTGTCAATATATCGCAATATGCATTAATTACGGGCGCATTAGATAATAGAAACAAAGATAATACGAAGCAGCAGCACGCTGAGTATGCCGATGGAGGATTCATAACGGTGCAACGAAAACGTAAATTTCAATACGCGTATCAAGGAAAGAACGATTTTGTTGAAAGGTCTAAAGATTTTGCTGAAAACACATCTGAAAATAATTTTTCGTTGAATCAAAATAATTTGTTGTAAATTTCAATATGTATATCGAGGATAGAACGATTTTGTTGAAAGGTCTAAAGATTTTGCTGAAAACATATCTGAAAATAATTTTTCGTTGAATCAAAATAATTTGTTGTAAATTTCAATATGTATATCGAGGAAAGAACGATTTTGTTGAAAGGTTTAAAGATTTTGCTGAAAATCGTCTGAAAATAATTTTTTGTTGAATCATCAAAATAATTTGTTGGAGTGTTAAAACTGATAAGCATTGCTATAAAACGTTTTGATATTCAATTATTTTAACTTTCCTACAAAATTATTTTGATTGTTCAACAAAAATTCTTTTGAGATCTGGATTCAGCAAAATTGTTCTTTCCGTGTACCTTTTCAATAATGTAAATTCTTTTAACACCGAAATATTATTTAACACCCTCAATTTCATGCATATCATGATTTGACGAAAAAGTTGTATTTCAATTTATTCGTATTCTGTTGTTTTTACATAAAGCTGCTATCACTGTTATAAACCGCTAAATCTGCCGCGGTAATATCGGTGGTCAATCTCACTTGTTATAATCACTTCATTTGTGATTACATAATTAACTTGAGGTTAATTACTCTTATTTGAATATCCATCTGCCTCAATCGAGAGGTTCGAAACGCGAAATTGGATTTTGCTGAAGATTATTAAACCATTAAATTATGATTGGGGAGTTTCCTTCGAGAACACGGCAATCTATTTATATTCGAGTGTTAATAAACATCACTATATGTATACAGAAGGCAACGTCGATATGATTGTTAATTAAAACTAAACTAAAACATTATTATAATTACTTATAAAAACATGCTCTAAAATAAGATGACATGAGAAGTTATAGCTTCGCTAAAAGAAGACAAAGACTCGCAAGGTTACTTCGATACCATATATCTGCATCAGAAATGTATGAGCTGTTCGCTCGCACAATGCAATGCGCACTGAAGTGCGACCAGTTTTACGCTTAAGATTTTCACTTTTCCCTGCAGCGATCAGCGTCGACAGAAAAAGTGACAAAACGACGCCCGAGAGAGAGAGATTGTTCGAGAAATTATACTCTCTCGCTCTAGATGACTGTATTTATGATGCATTATACATTTATTTATTTTCTTGTACGTTATTATTTTTACTTACATTATATTTAAATATATTTATTATACATTAAATTAAATAAAACATACGCTGCATAATTGTGAAAAATCTAACGGCAAATTTGTACGCCACTTTGTTTGACGACAAAAATAAAATCGTCGCTGTCGCCATAAGTCTTCTTAATAAGCTCAACGTGCACGTGATACACGCCACTTGATTTATTTTTCGCTCCGATCTCGATCTATCCGCAAAATTCTCGACAAAACGAACGTAAGTAGGACGCAATCGATTATGTGTAAAAAGTACGCCTTGTCGCGTCTCTCGTCAATGATGATTTGACTTCGACCACTTATGTCCCGATGCATGTCCCTCTTTATGACCGTGTCTCTCATCGTGATGATGATGACCGTCGTGTCCGTCCGCGGACTTGTGACCCTTCTTCTCGTGATGATGGTGACCGCCCTCGTGTTTCTTCTCCTTGCCATGATGACCCTGAAGTAAGAACGAAATTCGCCCTTTATAACGATCGAAAACTAATGACAGCTGTAAACAGCTGATTCAGATGGCGAAGAAAATAATCATGATGATTTTAATCAATATTAACCTCGTGATGTCCAGAATGCAGATGGCCTTTCTTTTCGTGGCCACCCTTCTTGCCCTCGTGTTCCTCGTGCCAACCACCGTGCTTCTCGCTTCCCCCGTCCTCGTGATACTCGTCATAAAAATCGTGCTTCTTCTCGTATTCATCCTGGAAGCAACTTACACACATTAATTCAGAAAAAATTGCAAATACTAGAATTTTGCTTATATTAAAAATATTAAAACGTTTATCAACACGAAAAGAACAATTTTGTTGAAAGGTCTAAAAATTTTGCTGAATACAGATCTGAAAATAATTTTTGTTCAATAATCAAAATAATTTGTTGGAAAGTTAAAAATGATAGACATTGCTATAAAACGTTTTAATATTCTAGCAATTATTTTGACTTTCCAACAAAATTATTTTAATTATTGAACAAAAAATATTTTCTGATCTGGATCCAGCAAAATTGTTCTTTCCATGAATAGTTAAATAACAACAACACATTTTTAATTCTGCAAATAAATACATCCGATAACATCTGATTTCTAATGAATCATCGTTTCAATACAATAAAAATTGATTTTGATTTTCGAAATATTCTGGGAGAATTGCTGATTGTATTGACGCGGCCTATTAACATATATAACTTAAAGTATTGGAATGTTGAATGTGAACAAGAGGTCATCATATGGAAGCCTAAATAGTTGAACAACAGAAGCCTTTTATAGCGTCTGATCTTCTAATCTCTTGGCAAGCTTTAATATCTATATAAGTACAGACTATCATGTTCCTAGTATTACGAAAAGACCGCAATCAACGTGTTTTCTAAATCACGACGGATATTAACGGTAAAACGGATTTCGGGCATGTAATACGCAATCGTGCGTCGACCAACGAGACGGTACACATTTCACGATTCGATTACCTTCTTGAAGACACTGTGCTCCCCCTTCGTGCTGTATCCCTTTTGGTGTTTGCCCTCTTCGCCAAATTTCGCATCCTTCTCACCGTCCTCGCCGTGATGCTCCTCGCCGTAATGGCCAGCTTCTTCGTGGTTCTTTTTCTTCTCACCCTCTTCCTCGTCGTACTCCTGTTTGTGCTTCTCCTTGTCGTGATGTCCTTTATCACTTTTCTCGAACTCGTGGAAAGCCTTGTAACCCTTTCTCAATCAAAATACGCATTATTGACAATGGGAAGAACAAAAGTTTTCTGTAGGTAAATCGGTATTATAAGTTTATAATTGTTAAAGGTAAATCAGTAGGTAAATCGGTATTATAAGTTTATAATTGTTAAAGGTAAATCAGTAGGTAAATTGGTATTATAAGTTTATTATTGTTAAATTTTGACATAATAATAATAAAGAAATGATATATATCTTGTGTAAATATATATATATATATATACAGGGTGTCCCGAAATTCGCGAATCAAAATATCATAGCAAGAAAATCTTTGAGAAATTAAGTAAAAAAGTTCTTTGTAAATTTTTATTTTAAGCAATAGTTTTTGAGATATAAGGGTTTAAATTTAGCCAATTGTAGATTAGTACTCGCGTGAATTGTGCGCTACCTATATATATATATATATATATATGTATATATATTGTATGGGCTTACGGCTAAAACCTCCATTTCATTGAAAAACGTCGACGTTGGCGAATTCTCACGATATTATTCTCACGAACACCAGTTTTCCGGCATGAAGAAACGAAACTCATTCTGCTATAACTCTTTCCCGGAATACAGTGAGAGAAATTTGCGGGGATATAAAACAATATCGGGAAATATTCGATACAAAGGGGGTGAGATATATAATACTTTACGGTCGCGCGCCGAATGCTTCTTTGGATCCTGTCTCGTTTCTCGGATGCAATATATTCGTATGAAAAAGGAAAAAAAACCTATGCGACGTGTATACATTCCCGGTGGTGGCGAGCGCGGGGAACGGGCGCGCGCTTATATTACAAGCGATAAAAGAGGGAAGAAGTCGTCGACGGCGACGTTGGATGACAACGGCCTGGACGTCGATATATATAAGCAGCAACCGTGAAATGAAGCGCCTGTACCTTATCGCCTTTCTGGCCATGCGTGTCGTGGTGGGCCTCGTCGTGCTTCGAGCCGGTACCCTCCTCGTGATGTTTGTCGCCGCCTGTTCGATATGAAATATAAATAAAGCTACCAGAGCTATACTTTTTATCGTCGCGGTGAGAGACCGCGCTCGTCTTTCTCTCCCGTTCTTTCGTTTAACAAGCCTCCCGATTCGCGCGTCGAAAAGGAGATCATTTAGAAACGAAGCCGCGAGGCAAATTGAGCCCTTCTCACCCACGCGAATAATTCAAGAACATCCGATTATGCAAATATCTCATAGACTTTCATCCTTGTGAGCTAGACAAGAAAGAAATATCGAAGATGAAGTTAAAGTTGTTCGCTAGTCCAATTAACAGAAAAGTGGTAGCGTGGGATGTACAAATTTTATCTATCGATATACTTTGTTATTTATTAAAACGTTTTAAATATTTTATCTTTTCAAATATAGATTGTATATCAACTCACGTTATTTATATTTATATATATATTTATATACACGTATAACATATTCCGGAGAGATGCAAAGATTAAATAATGAAACTGTTCGAATTGTAACGGTAGAGAAGCAAATGTGGAAATGGAAAAACAACACAATTAAAACTTATATAACCGATGAAAAATAAAACAATTCAGTTGTTAAACACAGCAAATGCGACATACGTTTAAAACAGACACGGGATTCGAGTGGCGCTTCTAATTCTCTGACACGTACAAATTAGCACGATCGACGGCAGATCCGCATAATCCGTCGTGAGCCTCGCTCTCGCAATTGAATTTCCGCTCGTCAATGTTAAAAACGGTTATTTCATTTGCCGTCACGTGAAAGAGAACGTATATATAAAAATATATCGATAATTCTGCGATAAAAAGTAGGTATACGTACAATTTTCGCAGCTGAAATTCAGCAATATTTGCTCTTTACTTGTTTACATCAAATAATCTCGTTTACTTCGATTTCTTCATCGTTCTCTTTTACCGCGCTTCATATTCTTACGAATGAGATGATACAGCTGTAAAACACTGTACCTCCGTGATGACCCGTGGCCTCCGCGACGAGATCCTTCCTGGAATACCGGAAACCGGCTGGAGCCTTGCTGACCTTTCTCGTCGCCGGCGAGCCGTCGAGAAGGACCGTCAGGGTCAGCAACAGCCACAGTATCCTCAATTCGACGGCGTATGACGTCATTTCGAATATACCGTTCCGCGCGGAGTAAGAAGTACGTTCGAAATGACGAAGTACGAGATGAGGCACTGAGATGCACCTGCGACCGTAGCTCCGATTTATTGCGCCGGATACTTCCTCTCGTCGCGCGTTTTTCCCTCGCCGCCGCGCGCCGCCAGCCAGGCGATCGCCTTTTTCCTGCCGGTCATTGAAAAGACGGACTTTCCTGTTCCGGACGGAAGATGACGGCGCGGAAGAATGAAAAAAAAAGAAAAGAAAGAAAGACGCGTTTTCTTACTTTAATTGTCGTCGCTACTTTCACTCGCCGCGCTCGTTCTTCGCGATGTGAGCAAGAACAAAATTGCGAGTGAGCTACATCTTATATTCTTCGGTCGTTAACATTTCGAGTCTCAATTATTCAACAATGCGCTCTTAGTTCGTGAATTGTTAGTGCAATTTTAATCTATCTTAATTCTAATCTGATTTATTAGCGCATTTTCTATTGCAACGATACAATTCTGTGTCTTGCAATTGATGCATCTTTTATTTATATGCAAAACGTACGCGTATAATATTTATTTCTAGTTTATTAACATACTTCTAGTTTATTAACATACTTCTGATTCTCTTCTAATGCTCCTTCTGCAATCTGGGTCTTTTTTGGCAAGCAAAATTTCGCTCTCAAATTTCTTCAAAATAAAAAGAGAGCGGATATTGAAAAATAATTCTGAATTTTTCTATTTTTTGAGACTGTAGAACAGTAAAAAAATTTGAGCTAGATAAAAAAGATCCAGATTGCAGGTGGAGGTTTAAGAATCGGAAGTATGTTAATAAACTAGAAATAAATATTACGCTTACGTTTTGCATAACTAAAAAATGTATCGATTGCAAGACACAGAATTGTATCGATAAGTTGCGATCAAAAGTGCGCTAATAAATCAGATTATAAACAAATGAAGGGAGTAAAATATGATTGCAGACAGAGTTAATTTCTTGACGCGATTTTGACTTGTAATTATACATTATTACTTATATATTTTATACACTACTGAACATTTTAAATTTATTAACTTAAATACGATATACAATTTATTATCGGATTTTTTATCTCCAAAAATTGATTCATAAAAAAAGAGAGTAGATCAAAACTAAACAAAATAGCAATCACTTTAGCAGAAGTATAATTTTTCTATAAGGATTATACATATAAAGTTTTATATAAATTTATATACCATAAAAAATCTTTTTAAAAAAAGAAAAAATATACGCCAAGTACATAAAAAATGTCACATATTACATTCTTTCTAAAACTAAGAACAATTTTTTTTTAATGATTAAAATATACAATTATTTAAAAATTATTTAAAAATTGATTGATCAAAAATAGTCGTGAAATCAATAAAATTAGCCAAATTATTTAAAAAAGCCAAGTTTATAAATTTATATATAACCTTTTAAGCTCTATAATATAATCCTTAGAGCATGTAAAAAATATTAAAAGTACCTCTGCCAAAGTGATTGCCATTCCACTTAGTCTTCTCTTTTAAGGTTTTGACTTCTGAAACGTCGAAAACGTAGAAAACACCGGCGAAGGGATGAGAACGAACAAGAAACGCAAGAAACTAGTCGAAGGACATGCATGAATGATTGATAATTACTGGACGCTGAAATCCTTTAGATTGAGCCATTGAAAAATATCGCTACCGAGGGGACGAAAAGCCGCCACGTAAACACAATTACCATCCCTCTTCTACTCTTTCTCCTTGAAACGTCCGTCCCGCTGCGATGCAACCCTCGGCTTCCCTCCCGCTTTCATTGTCCTCTTTCACCGGCGCCGGAAAAGCCGATAAGCCACGAAAGGATATTTTAATACGGATTCCGCAATAATGAATCTCTCTACCGCATAATTAGGATTATTAATCCTCTCTCTCTCTCTCTCTCTCTCTCTCTCTCTCTCTCTCTCTCTCTCTCTCTCTCTCTCTCTCTCTCTCTCTCTCTCTCTCTCTCTCTCTCTCTCTCTCTCTCTCTTCTCTCTCCCCTCCCTCCCTCCCTCCCTCCCTCCCTCCCTCCCCCCCTCCCTCTCTCTCTCTCTCCCTCTCCGTGTATCGTGCGGGATCGTTAAGCGTTCCGCATTAATGGTTTACGATTGTTTCTCAACATCGCAATTTGCTTCGGCAACTCAAATGTTTCCCCGGCATGACCGCTGAATATGTCGCACCCTTATGGCTATAGTCAAATATTTGCGCAACGATTCCTCGTTGCATCTCCCCATAGTTTCTCACCGCGCGACTTTATCGTCGATGTGAACTGTCGCAGATTTTAACAGCTGCAACTGATTTCTATACATTAAGTCGTCACATTAAGCAGTTTATATCGATTTCAATGAAACGCAAATAGGAATTACGTTCGCTTCACTATTCTTTAGAATCAATTTCCTTTCAACCAAAAAGCTCGCATTCTGTAAGTAAAATTAAAAAATTGTTAAATAACAATTAAAAATAAGAAAGAAATAAATGGAAAGGCTATATTCCTTGGACAATTACGAGTGGAATATTTAGAAAATTTTAATGAGACATTTAGAAATACATATCAAAGATCTTGCAACGTTAAAAATTACAACGGTACAACAAACGACACGAACTATCGTAAAATATTATCGTTAAAAAGTCTCCAAATCGATCGAAGAAACTATACGGACACAAGTCTATTCGGATATTTTCGGAGCATCAGCCTGCGAAATTACATCGATCGCGTTACGGGGATGTTATTTCAACACACCGACGAGGCTATCGGGATATTATGTAATGCGTAGAGCAACAGGGAATTATCCGGCTTAAGCCCCCGCGAGCCACTCTGCGTTTCGTGCAGGTTTACTCTCGCTTCGCACTCCCTCGTTTCCGGCGAGAAACGCACTCTTATTGCAAGTGCAATCCGTTAGACCGAGCTAACGAGATATCGGTAAGCAAATTAGTCAGCGGGCGCGCATATTGCAGGTTGCGCTATCACAGACAACGGCGGTGCGGCGTCACTGTGTCCGCCTCGTCGTATCTGCGCGCCACCCGCGAACAAACAGAGGAGCCCGGGTTTGCATTATAATGCGGATAATTCGATTTTCATCATCCTCTATATAACAGATGTCAAGCGGCACAGAGACTCCATGGCAGCTCTTGCGACCCAAGAGCGAGGCAACGTTCCGCGTGGATGTCGCGTCGTTCCTCCTCCTCCTGCTCTTCGCGGAATCGCTTCCTCCTCGAGAGACCGTCATCCTTTGCGAAACTACCCGTGCCGCGTCCCGTCGTCGTCATCAATAATGCGCCGGTGAAAAAGCTGAGGAATGATCTCGACAGTCGGCCTTGGTGCGGTTTAGATGAGATTGAAAGTAATCGTTGTCGGGGTGAGAAAGTGAGTTGAATGCTTCAGGATGAGCGACGCGAGGAACGACAAGGACGTGGAAGCGTTGGAAGCCGCGGCCCAGGACAGCGACGATTACGTGCTCCACCTTCCACGTCCGCTCACCCTCGAAGAAAAGAAGTACCTGTTGGCCGTGGAAAGAGGTGATTTGCCCAATGTGAAAAGGCTTGTGCAGCTTGCAAACAAGGGCAAGGTAAATAAATATATGAAATACATTCACACGGAAAGAACGATTTTGCTGGATTCAAATCTGAAAACAATTTTTGTTATACATTCAAAATAATTTTGTTGGAAAGTTAAAAATGCTTATCAATTTTGACTTTCCAACAAAATTATTTTGATGATTCAACAAGAATTATTTTCAGATCTGTATTTAGCAAAATTTTTAGATCTTCCAGCAAAATTGTTCTTTCCGTGCAAGAGAAATCAAAGCGAAAATAAAAAGATCTTCGTATAAATAAAAGTTTTTGCGAAGAAGGAAAATTATATTTTAATACAAAAGACGATTTTTTTTAATCGATAAATTTTATTAAAATCAGAGAGTAAAATTTTATTTTGTTCAATTTTAAAATCAAGTTCAATTGTATGCGTATATCCACAAAATTCTGGAACAGCGGATGGGAAATTAGAACAGCAATTTCGTAGGACTGAAACGCGCCGAGAATTCTTGCGATGGATACATATGCTCGAACGTTTTAGACAAAACAGCTGGACGTGAATTGCGTGGACAGTCTGGGTCGCGGTGCCCTCACGCTGGCTATAGAGGCAGAAAATTTAGAAATGGTCGAGTTGCTTATTGTGATGGGAGTCGAAACTAAGGACGCCCTACTCCATGCCATCGATCAAGAGTTCGTAGAGGCGGTCGAGCTGTTACTGGAACACGAGGAGCTCCTTACGAGCCAAATAACCGATTGTGAGTTGAAGTTTAATGTTCTCGGAAAGTTGCGCATAATGACCCGATTGGAGCGACCGTATATATACGGAAAAAAATAATTCTGCTGAAGTGTGTGAAAATTAGATCACTTACGTAACAAATATGAAAATAATTATATAATGTTGAATTATCAAAATAATTATATTGGACGCTTAAGCTGATTGCTGGAATATTAACATATTTTATAATATTATTACCACTTGTTCGAAATAATTAGATGATTTAAACGTAATTATTTTCGGCACATTTGGCCTAATCTTTTTATGTACTCAGCAAAACCGTAAATATGTAATTATATAAATAAACAATTTTATTGAAAATAAAACTGCATTAGAAGAATTCAGGAATTTAGAGGAATTGTTATAAATTATGTTATATAATTTCAATGGATCGATATATTCTACAATGTATTGGGAGCTATTATCTGTCTTTTACATTTGTCACATTTTAATTGCAGCCGAAAAGCAGATCATACACAGCTGGCAGAAGGTTGACCCGGCATCAGCCAGATACCCGATGGACATGACACCCTTGGTACTCGCGGCGCAGCGCAATAATTACGAAATCTTGAAGCTTCTACTGGATCGAGGAGCTACCCTGCCGATGCCGCACGACGTGAGATGTGGCTGTGACGATTGTCTTCAGGCAACCATCGGTACGGTATATTCTGATGAATTTCTTTCTTCTCTTAGTCTCTGAAATTTTCTGGAGTGAATCTCACTCCAAAAAAAATTTAGAGAGTACAGACGTTAGAAAGTACATAAATTATTACTAAAAATTGTTGATAAAGATGTAAGTACATAATTGGAATTATAATTTAGGCGATCCATTAAGGCTGTCATCTACTAGAATCTCAGAGTACAAGGCATTAGCGAGTCCAAGTTTAATAGCTCTAAGTTCGACAGATCCCTTAATGACAGCTTTCCAATTAAGCTGGGAACTTAGGGAACTAGCTGTATCGGAACCGGAGAGCAGAGCCGAGTACTTGAAGCTACGGCGGCAGGTGGAAAAGTAAGTTTTTCGTTTTGCAGAATGTGATTGTAATGCCTGATCAATAATTCTAAAAACGTTCCGATCAATAGATTCGCTGTCGACTTGTTGCAACACGTCCGAACTACCACGGAACTGGATACCATCCTGAATTACGATCCCAAAGAAGAGAATATCGAACTTAGCAAACAACTGGCTCGACTGGAGCAAGCTATCGACTATAAGCAAAAGAGATTCGTCTCGCATTCTCACGTGCAGCAGCTCTTGGCAGCAATCTGGTGAGTCAAGGAATCTATGACTCGTGCAGTACAAATGACATTGGCCGGTATTTATCATAGTCGATTTTATATTTAAAACTATCCCAATAAACAAAAATGAATTAAATTAATCTGAATCTATCATTCATTGCCCAATACCTTTGTATTCATTTATAGGAATTGCATGAATCACATTTTCTATGTCATTCAATCCAAAAAAAATTCAGCTTTAAAAAGTAAATCGTGAATATACTAGTTAATTCAAAATTCTATATAGGAAATGTTGTTTTTTCAATCGAATTAAATTTAAAAAAACTTTTTATGAAAATGGACTATGAATGTTATTCATCTAAATAAAAAAAAATATTTGTTGGATTTAGATGGATTGAAACAATGCATTTCCTAGTCACAATTTTTGTCCTAGCCACAATTAATATAATAATATTATATAATATTATATAATATTATAATATATTAATATTATATTAAAAATGTTATATTATATTCGTATTATGAAATAGAAATGCATTCATTTCCACGCAGGCCAATTCATTTCAATCCGCGAATAAAAAAATTTTAATCCATTTTAATTCTTTCCCGTTTACTGAAATTTTAAGTACAATCTTAAAATATCATAAGCCAATCACAGAGATATTAATAGCTTAAGACATTACTTAAGACTACAGTCTTGAAATATTAGCCATTAATTAATAATCAGAAATATCAGTTAGTTCATATTTTAAGGTTGTCTTAAGTAATAATATAATATTAAGATGCTAATATAACTTTGTGATTAATTCTTAAAACTGTATAACTTAAAAGACAATCTTAAATATAAGAATCAGCAATGAATACCGCACGGAAAGAACGATTTTGTTAAAAGGTCTAAAAATTTTACTAAAATACAGATCTGAAAATAATTTTTTGTTGAATTGTCAAAATATTTTGTTGAAATATTAAAACTAATAAGCGTTACTATAAAACGTTTGGATATTCAAGCAATCATTTTGACTTTTATGCAAAATTATTTTGATTATTGAACAATTTTGCTAGATTCAGATCTGAAAAATTATTTTCAGATCTGAATCCAGCGAAATTGTTCTTTCCGTGCGGTCATTGTCCGTAAAAATAAATTAAAAACATTTTTTAATGTCCCACCCAATTGAAAGGTACGAAGGGGTTCCCGGATTCCGCAGAATGTCAACTATGCGGAGAATCGGGATTCTTGCAAAAACAGCAGTTCTATTTCCATTCTATTGTATCATGTACTATCTATTGCCGGGATCGAAAACAGGACAGCTTATGCGAAGACCTTTCATGAAATTCTTGGTTCACGCATCATCCTACTTATTCTTCTTGTGTAAGTTATATTTCAGTTTCGAAATTCAACGCTAATTAGCAGACAAGCTAGGAGCAGACAAGCCGACTCGTGTGTCTTGAAATAAAAAAATCAGTGCCATTATCTAATCAACGGTTAACGTGTCCGTAGTTGTGCTCATGCTGGTGTCGCAGCGTGCGGAAGTGGAGATCGTTAGGCTTCTAGGTACTCAGGAAATGAAGAGAAATCTCGAGACTTACTTGGCACGGCAAAGAGGCGCGGTCCCCACTCCGCTGGAAGGTATCGTCGTGCTGTACGTCTTTGGATTCGTATGGGAAGAGATGAGAGAGGTATGCGGACGACAAACAAGTGTATACATAATTTTTTTTCCCCTTAAATATGTTTTCTACATTTGTCTAACAATAAGCCATGATTTTTCCAAAATCTCGTAGGCTTACGTGGACGGTCTGAGGAGTTACTTGCGGGACATGTGGAACTTTATCGACTTTACCAGAAACACGCTCTACTTGGCGACCGGTGTTCTCAGACTGGCGGCTTATCTGCAGCAGCGCGCCGAGATACGGACGGATCCGTCGGCCGCGCTAATACCAAGAGAGAATTGGGGCGACTTCGATCCGCAGCTGATCGCGGAGGGTCTCTTCGCGGCTGCGAATGTCTTCAGCGCTTTAAAACTCGTCCATCTTTTCAGTATCAATCCGCATCTTGGGCCGCTTCAGGTTTGTCATCGGATTTCGCATTAGGAACTTATTCTTATTATTTTAAAGTTTAAACTTCTTTAAGAACTCTTCTGCATTTGATTATATATTTGATCCTGATATTACTTCAACGTATACACGGAAAGAACGATTTTGTTGGGTCTAAAAATTTTGCCGACTATAGATCTGCAAATTAATTCTTGTTGAATCGTCAAAAAATTTTATTAGAATATAAAAAATAATAAGCATTGCTATAAAACGTTTTGATATTCTAGCAATTATTTTGAGTTTCCAACAAAATTATTTTGATTATTGAACCGAAATTATTTTCAGATCTGGATCCAGCAAAATCGTTCTTTCCGTATATAAAAATATGACAGAGTTAATAATTTTCTTTTTATGATGACCGCGACACTTCGCATCAAAGAGAATTGCAATTTCTATTTTAGATATCGTTGGGCAGGATGGTAATCGACATCGTGAAGTTCTTTTTCATTTACACCCTAGTGTTATTCGCTTTCGCTTGCGGCTTGAACCAGCTGCTGTGGTATTTTGCGGAACTGGAGAGGCAGAAGTGTTACAGCGGAATGTCGGATCCCTCGTGGGACGCCGGCAGTGACGCCTGCTTAAGATGGAGAAGGTGAATGGAATAATCGAATTGCCAGAGAGAGAGAGAGAGAGAGAGAGAGAGAGAGAGAGAGAGGAAGAGAGAGAGAGACCGAGAGATCGATGAGAGACGTGTCTTTCCTTTCAAGCCACACTTCCGACCCACCTATTAATCATGAAAAAAAATAAGAGACTGCGCATTTTCTTCCAAATCTGTAATATTGAATAATGAATTATTTATTAAAGCCACAACTTTTGCCACATATGTATAATAAATACATGACTCTGTGCAGAACGCCTGTATTTTTATATCAAATTACTCTTGAAGACTGAAATTACCGTAATTTTGAAGAATGAAAATTGAATGTAATTTATAGTTATTTTTTTTTTTAATATGACACCAAATATTCCTTGAGTACTTCAATTATATTTCGCGTAAAATTTTTTCAGATTTAGCAATCTGTTCGAATCGTGTCAGAGTCTTTTCTGGGCCAGTTTCGGTATGGTCGGCATTGAAAGCTTCGAACTCACTGGTACGTTCACGTAAATATGTAATTCAAATATATAAAAATAATTCTTTTTCCGAAAACTGATACCTTGTCATCGGCGAAACCAACATTATTATTTTCCAACATCAGCTTATTATTATTTTCAGGAATCAAATCATACACTCGATTCTGGGGCTTGCTGATGTTCGGATCGTATTCCGTGATCAACGTGATTGTCCTGCTAAATCTACTGATAGCCATGATGAGCAACAGCTACGCCGTTATTGAGGTAAGGCTGCGACTCGAAACTATTCCGTGATCTGAATGATCTCGTCAACAGTGGCATTGACGCGACAGGAACATTCCGACACGGAGTGGAAATTCGCAAGAACGAAGTTATGGATGAGTTACTTCGAGGACAGCGGAACCCTGCCGCCGCCCTTCAATATCTTCCCGCCGCCTAAATTGCTTTTCCGATTGTTCGGCCTGCAGAAGAAGTCTATTGGTCGACGCAGTAGTCAACGTCGGCGTGCACGCGAACATAAGTGAGCTGTCTTTATCAATTAAGTGTTTGACTCGAAAATGAGATGTATATAATATAATATAAAATTCTTAAATTTATTTCCTGCTTTAACGTTAAATAACTGTAATGTTAAGGCTGTTTAACAATTTCGAAGATTAAAGAATTCAAATGAATTTCAAAGTTAATTCTGAAACCTTCGAAGTATAGTCGAACCACGATAACTCGAATCTCAAGGGAACATATAAAAATCTTCGAATTATAAGTTTCGATTTATCAATGTTTGAGTAAAACAGAATTAACATGAAAATTCGACTTACGGAAGCTTTGTACGAAAGTTTATAATTTTCCGATTATAATGGATTTTAAAGGAAAAAATTCGAGTTGTTTTCGAGTTATAGAGATTCGAGTTATCGAGGTTCAACTGTATAAGGGGTTTGAAGTTGAAGCTTTGAAAGGCATCTTAAACTTCGAAGGTACATACATGGAAAGAACAATTTTGTTGAAAGGTCTAAATATTTTGCTACAAACAGATCTGAAAATAATTTTTTATTGAATCATAAAAATAATTTGTTGGAATGTTAAAGCTGATAAACATTGCTATAAAACGTTTTGCTATTCTATCACTTTGACTTTTGCACAAAATTATTTTGATTATTGAACAAAAATTATTTTCAGATCTGGATTCAGCAAAATTGTTCTTTCCGTGTACAGAATTAACTTCGAAGTTTTGAATTCTCTCGAATCTCCGAATCTTTAAAATTATCAAAACTAACAGCCCTATTCATTTTAAGTGTTGTTCTGTAGACGACATAGGGTGATGGCGTAATAATGGCATGAATTATACATGCGTCTTGCTACTGTCAATATAGATACGGAGCAGTCATGAGAGCCTTGATATGGCGCTATGTTGTGAATGCACACAGCGAGCACGAGATGGAACCCGTCACCGAAGACGATGTCCATGAACTTAAGTCCGATTTGTCGTCCTGGAGATGCGAACTCCTGGACATTCTGTTCAGAAACGGCATGGACATCGGCGGTGTCGACAAAAAGGAGAAAAGTAAGCATTAAAGTAAGCTAAATCCAGATTTGAAAATAATTTTTGTTCAATAATCAAAATAATTTTGTGCAAAAGTCAAAACGATTGCTAGAACGATTGCATATCAAAACGTTTTATATAGCAATGCTTATCAGTTTTAATATTCTAACAAATTATTTTGATGATTTGACAAAAAATTATTTTCAGATCTGTTTTTAGCAAAATTCTTAGACCTTTCAACAAAATCGTTCTTTCCGTATATATAAATACTGGCATGCTGTTTAACTTAAAATAACAAATGAGATAAGTTTAAGGCAAAATTTAAGTTTCGTCGAGAATGTAAAATTGTGTTAAAACTTATACTGACCGCTCTTTTGAAACTAGCTGTACTGGGTAAGAAGATGAGGGTTTGGGAGAGAAGACTCATGAAAGACTTCCAAGTGGCAGGTCCTGTAAATCCGGCTGACATCGATCTTCAGGAAGAGATAACTCTTCAACAACCTGAGGAAGAGAGCAACGTCGAGAGATGGAAGAGGATCGCCAGATTGGCCGTACTGACTTCGGCTGAACACCGTTGGAGTCAAGTACGAAAATACTTTACGTATTCCGTAATATTAGTAACTAACTGATAAGCTCTTCGTTCACAATTTCATAGGTCGTGAGAAGCGCAGTTAAGAGTTCTCAAATTGGCAAAAGCTGCAGCAAGGCGTCGCTGCAGAATCAGCAGAGTCTAAAGAGAGCCATGGAGGAAGCGAAACGTCTGGCGCAAAAGAGCCCATTGCCGTCAGATGTGCCGGTGGAATTGCCGGAAACTACCTCGGCGACAATACTGCATGTGCTGCACGAAATTGTCGAGGGCGACGGTGATGCTAAAACATCGGGAAACAGAAGAGACAGATCTCCGGAGCCTAGAAGAGACAAAACGCCAGAGCCAGTTAGGAACGGCGTTGATTCTCAACCGTTTGACTCGATTCTTCAGGTACTAAATCAATAATTAATTATGATCCAGTAAACGGGAAAGGATTAAATGAATTAAAATTTTTAAATTCATAAATTGAAATGAATTGGTCTTCGTAAAAATAAATGCATTTCTATTTCATAATACGAATATAATATAATATAATATTTTTAATATAATACAGTCAAACCTCGATTCGAATCTCAAGAGAAAAGCTATAAAAATATTTGAGTTATAGAAGTTTCAACTTATCAAAGTTGAGTAAAAGAGAATTGACATGAAAATTCAAACTTATGGAAGCTTTGTACGAGAGTTTATAATTTTCCGATTATAATGGCTTTCAAAGGAAAAAATTCAAGTGGTTTTCGAATTATAGAGGTTTGACTGTATTAATATAATATTTTTTGGATTAGGTAGATTCAAACAATACATTTCCTAGTTACAATTTGGAATTGAATAACGTTCATGGTTTATTTTCACGAAAAACTATATTTCATTATAAACCATATTTTTTTAAATTTAATTAAATTGAAAAAACTGCATTTCTTTTTCTTATCTAGAATTTTGAATTATAACCAGTATTCACAATTTACGTTGTAAAACTGAACTTTTTTTGGATTGAATTGTATAGAAAATGTGCTTTATGCAATTCCTGTAAATGAATATAAAGGCATTGGGCATTGAATACAGATTTTCAAAAGCATTCGCGAACGTGGAAATGAATTTTTTTCAATCCATTTTAATCCATTCTCATTTACTGGGGACCTGTGTAAAAGAGTTGTGATGAACACGTAATACACAAAATACTTTATTAAATTTCTTTAAGTAATTTCTTTTAAGAACGGGATTTGTTCTAAATAATCGATTCGTATGGTTCGATCGGTCTGATTAAACATACATAATATTATATAATTATTTAGAGTGAAACTGCTTATCAGCAAAGATGTTTCTTTACAGACCAAATCTACATCCTCGGTCAGTATCGTTGATGAAAAGACGAAGGATTCTGCGCCGTTGTTACCGCTTCGTTCATCACCGCCGCGAGTAGTCAAGAGAAAAGCTACTCAACTCGGTACTCGATTCAACTTATATATTTAAATACAAACTGTATTAATGTTTACTTATATTAAAAAAAAAACGTTTACTTAAAAAATTATATTCCTTTATAAAGTAGACAACATTTAACATTTTCAATGTTTAACATTTAATCATCATGTGTAACATTACTTTTTATTTGCAATACTTATTACTAAAACTCTCCTGTTATTTCTTCAGGCCAATTGTCAACTTCTGCTAAATCCACAACTATTCCATCTATCACGAGTACTACTTCGATTGTCCCTACGACATCCGTTACCACTGCGGTCGCAACTACACCAACGGACACAGCACCCGTAATTGCCGTGACTACTGCTGCAACAACTGCGCCTATTACTGTGAAGACTACTACTACTTTTGCCAAGCCCATCACGACAACAACTATTACTACTACTACTACTTCTACCATTGCTGCTACCACCGCTGTTGTCAAATCTGTTGCTACTACTACGAAATCCACCGCTACTACTACCATTTCTGTTGCTACGAAAACTTCTTCCAGCTCTACCATGGAAAGCCAAAGCAAACCCGCTAACACATCCATGAGTGTACCCTCGACCAACGTCAAAGACGGAAGCAGCTCAATCAGAGCACGGCCGAAGGTTTCCCACAGCCCTAAACTCTCGATTATCCCATCGTTAACAGTTACCTCAAACTCGGACGGTGGCAAAGATGATGACCGAGAGAAACTCGTAGGCATTACGTCGCGTAGCAGACCGCCGAGAGGAGGATGGCTTTGAATCAAGAAGCAATTTCATTTCGGAAGGGATATTAATAAGATTCTCACGGCTGAAATACACTCTCAATGAAATATTTTACATTCTGTGTCAAAAATATCATTTCAAATCTTTCTCGAAATTCTAAAGTCGTAATCATCATAATATGAGACCCTCTAAAGAATTTGCAGACAAGGAACTCCATTGAAAGATTATAAAATTTCCGCCGAGTTATTTTATTTAAAAAGGTACAGATATATATATTATAAACATTTTTATATATTTGTATTTAAAGAGAAATAAAGGGGCTTATATATAGATAAAGTATAACTGCGTACATTTATTTTCGTGTCTATGAATACATTCTATTCTCATGTACGGCACTAAATTGCATGCTTATGACATATTGGCAGATGTAATATAATGAAATATCATACAAATTAACATGGATTACTTACATTAATATGTATCCTATTAAAACTGTGATTCATATGCGAATAAATCCAATGTATTTCGATTGGCGAATAATACACAACTAAAGGTATATCTACGAAAGAGCGGGATGTTTGTATTGTCTAAATAACACGCTTTAAATGCCATAAATATGCAAAAATCATTTAATAATAATCTTTAAAGTTTTGTAAATTTCATAAAAGTAAGTCATCCGATTCGAAGAACCTCAAGCCGAGTCGCGCAGAGCGGACCTTGTCGATGCAATTCAAGCGACTTGCACGACTTTAGTCAGCGGGTCCTTCTGCGCCGAATTAATCTTATCGCCCAGAGATAAGGCCATACCTTGGCTCTTGGCTCTGATACGAATGTGACCGACCACTGGCGCGTCAGGTTTGTTTAGTGGTTTCTCGATAGATAAATTCGCTAGAGCGTCCTCGCCGAATATCGATTTAGCGTACATATTTGCGGCCATAAATCCACACTGTCCCGAAAGAGCCTGTGTGGAAAAAACGATAATAATGATTTTTTATAATAGAAAGTAACGCTATTTTAATATGAAATAAATTTAGTAAAAAAAAAATTAAAACATACTTTTTCTGGCGTGAGACAACGCATATTTGTGGATTTCAACAAATGCGCAAGATACTCTCTCAAGTCGGACAGAGTCGTGTTGACGGAAACTTTGTTCTCCCATTCAAATTCGGCCCACATCTGGCGGAATTCCGTGTCGGTGCACGTTGCGGGCACTATGTAATCCATAATGTCGATATGTATGTCGTTAAGAACGACTACGCTTCTGTCAGAGCCCGCACCTGACACGTCATATACTGCAAATAAAAAAAAATGGTCATATAATTTTATCTTGCAAAATAGGCAACAATGTGTTGCATTGAAATTAGTTACCGCTCGTATGAGTAAATCAATAAAACAGATAAAAGTCAAGCCAATAAAACGAGTAAAACTCTTTTCGGGCGGATAAACAATAATTAAATAATAATTGAAAGATTCGGTGGAACGTTTCGAATTTGATCAAAATTTTAATTGACATTATTCACGCAAATGTATCGTTGACGTTTTGTCTTCGTTTTACAATTATTAACCTATCGTTAATCGTCGTTAAAATAATACAGTATCTATAATGACAATTAATGATAAGTTGATAATTGTAAAACGGAGACAAACGTTAACGATACATCTGTGTGGTAATGTCAATTAAAATTTCTTCTTTAATGTAAATTGTCATGATGGCTAAATAAGCCGAAACCATCAAATCTTTCAATTATTATTCAATTAATAGTAAATTATTATTTATTCACTCGAAAAAAAGTTTTGTTCGTTTTATTGACCCTGACTCTTATCCATTTTAATGTGTTGCAATTTTTCCAAAGTAAATTCCTTCAAAAGTATCTAAATCTCACACTCACCAATATTTCCAAAAATGATTCCGTTTTCCGTGGATGTGACCTTCACGTTTGCCTTGATACTGGCAAAATCTCTAGGCGCGAGTACGATGGGTTGCGGTCTCTCCACTAGCTTCAAATCGCCCAAAGTAGCGAGCTCCAATGTGCAATTCTGCAGAGTGTCCTCCGTTTGATTGACAATCAGCACGTCGAGCACGATGTCGTATTGATTAACGTGGACCAGGGCCTCCGCGTAAACCGGATCCGAGAAACCGGTGAGTTGAATGACTTTGCTCAGGGCACTCGGAGCGTCCCCGCTGGCGCCAGGTCGTCCTGCCACAGCTGCGCTGAGGCTCTGCTCGAACATGTCACCGGCCCCACCGGCCAGGTCGGATCCTCGGCTCAGTTGCAAGAATTGAATCGCGTCGTCGACCTGGACGATACTGCCCGGCTTCTCCTTGGCCTTCTGATTCTGCGAGTCCTCCTCCGCTTTCGCGGTCAACATTCTACCGAGCGCGTCGCGGCAGCCCTCGGTGAAGACCTTCTGCACGAGAGGCGTCGGACAAGCGAGCGATCTGAGGCACAGGGAGAGTCTCTCCGCGTCGTCGTGTGTCATCGCTTTCGTGGGAAGACCCGAACGGCCCAGCTGCAACACGCTGGACATCACGAACATCGCTTCCGCCTGCAATCTGTTGCTCTTTTGGACGTTGGATTCGAGCAGCTTGTAGCGGAGGGCCAATTTCGCCAACGTGGTAGCCAGAGACGCGCCGATAAAGAAATCACCTTCCATCATGTATTGCACTAACGCCGGTCGCTTCTCCTCCTTCTTCCCTGTTGATTAATTCATACGTATGATAGCGAAATGTCGGAAATGTCGAACACGTATGTATTTTGTATTAAAAATAAAGAGTCACTCACTAGCAGATGCAGCGCTGAAAGCACTTTGAGTCGCGTAAGTGCCGTCAGACGTGACGAGTTGCGCGGGTGCGGCTTGCGCATTACCATCCTCGGACTTTTCGCCAGCTTGACGTTTGTTTTCCGCCTCGAGTAACGGCAACTCACCCAATGCCGCTCGTACACGACCCATTACGGCTTCAATATCTTCTTTCGACGTGGCGTACTCGCCGAGAATCCAGAGCGCGGCTCTGTGCACTTTCACAGATCGTATATGAGGGAACACCTAATTTAACAAAATCAAAATTAGTCGTTGTCAGCCTCTTGCCAATCATCACTCTTTACACTTTGCGCTTTTATATTTTTATACGTTGCATATTAGGGCTGGTGATTCGCTTCGAAGGATTCGACATTCGAACTTCGAAGCTTCGGCATTAAAATCTTCGAATTTTTTCGAAGCTTCGAAGTTTAAGATGCCTTCGAAGTTTCGAAGCTTCGAAGTTTTGAAGTTTCGAAAAATATTTGTGCAAATGATAAATTTATCCAGAAAATTTACAAATATTGTAAATATAAAGAATTAATATATATATACGAAATTATTCTTAAAAAATTTGAAAGTATTATAACCTGAAATATTACAAATTAATAATTAAACTTGATACATGTGCAAATAAGGAGATATAATGATCAATAAAACAATCCAATAAAAAAATTGAAATTTTTAAGGTATTTTTTTTAAACTTCGAAACTTCGAAGCTTCGACGTTAACTTCGAAAGATCGAAGTTAACGTCGAAGCTTTGAATATTCGAAGTGAGTAAAAAGTAACAACCCTATCGCATACACACCTCCAATAATTTCTCGACGATCAACGGTCTGAGATTCTCGAATCTCTGAATGGCTTCGCGAATGAATACAAGAAGATCCGTAGCTGCTGCTTCGTTACTCTCCGACAGAAAGTCAGTTAGTACTGGAATGACGGTAACGGCAACGTCCGCGAACTTCATGGAACAAGTGTGGAGAGTTCGTATCAAGAGCTGGCGATATCTACCAGCATCTTCGTGTTCTCCGCCAGCTGTCCTGAGAACTTCCTTCTTCAAGAGCTGGACCATTTCCTCGATCGTGCGAGTTGTAACCAAATCCATGGCTAAAGCCAGGGTTTTCGTCCTGACTTCCAAGGCTGGTGATCCTGTTAAAAATGAATAACAGTGATATAAAATAACGGCGGTAGAAATTCCAACGGGTTTCTTGCCGCTGCCATTAATATACCTAAAACGCGGAGTATATCCATTACAAGATCTTGAAGTACCCTCTCATACACGGGACTGTCTTTCATCGCAATTAGCCGATCCAGTACGATAAGTTTAACATTATTGTCACTCTCCTTGACAACCAATTCGATGTAGCACGAAGCCGCGGCCTTGATCGCGGTTGGTGCACTAGAAAGTGTCACCAGCGTGCCGGCTGCTTCGTAACGCACCGCAGCGCTAGGTGAATTTAGCAAACTATAAATACATCTGATAAAACGCGCCCTTTCCGACGGATTTGCAAGACAAACCTAAACAAAAAAAAATTACACCAATGAGTTATCAATAATAAAGAAATATATGATTATTTGAGAAACTCCATAAGTAAAAAAAATCTAACTTTTGAAGAAAAACTTGGAAAGTTTTCGTTTTGCAGAGTTTTTTCAGTCCTTCAAAAGTCATATCTTTTAACTTACGGAATTTTTCAAATGACCGATTCATATAGACTTAGATCTTAAAATATAACGCATTTGTAACGTATCTCATATATTAATTCAACAATGACCAACTTATGGAATTTTTCAAATGACCGATTCATATAGACTTATATCTTAAAATACAACGCATTTAAAACGTACCTTATATATTAATTCAACAATGACCAACTGCAGTATATCACCGAAACTCGGCACTTGATCAAGACACGCAGCCAAATATGCGAGGGCTTTACTCTGATCGGCGTGCAGCAACATTAAGAACGCATTTCTTCTGCACGACATATCCTGCTCCCCCTCCAGATACTTCGCAATCAAATCCGGAGCGTCCGGTATAAGAAATTCAAAATTTCTGTATATGGTATAAATAGCGAGCACCGCGTTACGTCTAACATAGGAGTGCCTGTGCTCCAGACAAGCAATTATCGCCGGCATCAGCGGCTCTAGAAGTTCCGGCTCCTTCAATTTACATAAGAATCTGCAAATTCAATATATTTAAAATAATAATAATTATCTTTTATTGCACTGTACAAATTATACAACAAAAGACAAAGAGAGATACAAGCAGGGTTGCCATAAATTCTTCATTCTAAAATTCCATGACTTTACCCTGATTTCCAGACAAAATTTCATGATTTTCCCTGACTTGCAATAATATTAAAACATTTTTTTGTGTTCGTCTTGATTTGGAAACTGTTTGGAAACTGTTAAATATTTTGTTGAAAGCAATTTAACATAGCAATGTAAATTACTATTACCGTTGTTGACATTGGTTGCGCTTAAATTATTAATATTTCTGTATCTTTTTCTTTTATATATGGGCACAATTTTTTTTCTTCTGCTTAGAATACAAGGAACATGTAAATATAATTTCTTTTTGATAAAAGCTAAGTCTTGTTTATTGGAATCTCCAACTTGCTATAATATTATACAAAGGTTTACAGATTTAAAAGAAAAATTAGAAAAATATGAAGTCAATTTTAATTTTATTAATTTGTTCATAAGTGGCGCAAGAAACTTACAAGTTTAAAAACAAAAACAGTTTTAAATAAATTTAAAATTTCAACAAAAAGACAAACTGAAAATTCTAATGCTCTTAATGAAGCATTTTAAATCTCTATTAAAAAGAGAACGTACATGAGCTAACAAAACTATATAAGTGTGTGATATACGCATATTAAACTTCTTTAAAGCCAAGGATTTTAATTTTCCAGAAAATTTTGTAAAATTCCCTGACTTTCCCCTGATTTCCAGTTTTGTGGCAACCCCGTACAAGAGATAACATGTAAGACACTAGGAAGACTGTTTCACAACAAAAGAATTGATTCACAAAAAGAGAAGCTGGAGCAAAACGCATGCACAGGTATACACGACGCACTCGCGTACACATGCAGTTCATATTATTCACACATATATGAATGCATTACACAACCACATATGTAATAAATTTATCACTTGTATACAATTACATTTACTCTTTACTATAATACAATAAGTTTACTACTATACATGCATGGTCTGTCCCAAAAGTAATGAGACTATTTTTGAGGGCCCAATCAGAATTATCAGGGAATAGATCCATTGAATAGGGCACCTTTGGTGCAGAACGTCAGGTATACAATCTGACTCTTCTTAGTTGCCTCCGAGCTTTTCTAGCTGTCGATACCATCAGCAAAGTAAAGTTGTAATTAGTTGTGTCTTGTCATGGGCGAAAATTCAGCACAGACTGTGCTGTATTTTGAGCGGTGCAATCAAATTCTAAAGACAAAGCAGCATTTCTACAAGCTGTTCTCAACATCTTCGACATTTCGGAACCAGATTTTATCAGTTTCACGCCAAATTTAATCGCTGCTTGAGACTAAGCTAAATTTTCGACTGTGACAAGACATAAACATTTGCAACGCACTTTACTGATGGCACTCAACTGCTGGAAAAGCTCGGTGGCAACTGGGAAGAAGATTGTATACCTGACATCCCCCATCAAAGGCCCGTCCAATGGATCCACTCTCCAACATTCTGATTAGAGCGTCAAAAATGGTCTCGCTACTGTCGAGACAGACCACGATACATTAGTTTACCACTAAACGCGACTCATGCACTCGCGCTTTCCGTCCTTACCTAAGAGTGGATCCCCTGACAAATTCATTGGGATGCTGCAAATCTTTTCTGTACGCGTCGCACACCAGGATCATCTCCTGCAACAGCTTGCCATCGGCGGAGGTCTTCGGCACGATCTCCCAGAATATCAGCAGCAGCTTCTTGATGGTGTGATTCTGCAGCGGTAGAACGAACCTGATGATCGTCATCAGGAGGCCCGGCAGTCGCTCGCCGCTCAAGATCATGTGTATCGTCTTCTTGAGCGCGTCGATCTTCGTCTTGACGCTACCCTTCTCGAGATCCTGCTTCAACTGGAGCTCGTTCAGCGGCTCCGTGTCGGTCGGGATGTTTATCAGGGTGTAGCACGGTTGCTCGGTCATGGTGCTCATTTTCTCAGCTGTTCGTGATGACGTTCAACGCCAAGAGGAGAGTTCCCTTATTATCTGCGAACAAGATCGGGACTTTGTTATCCGTTTTTTTCCCCCCGCAAGGATAATTCTATGCGCGAGGAAAAACCGAATGCGAGTGTTGCGAGGTTATGTATCTGTCGTCATTCCGACCCACACGCATCACGTGTATCAGCGACGCTGCAAATCGACGGCTGCGAGATACGAGACGCTTGCGGGCAACGAATTAGGGAGCATATATACCTAAAATTAAAGCTGAGGAAAACACTCGCAAATAATCAGCCTGTCAAATTTTGCTGACATTTAAACACCATCCGGAGCGATCCGAGAGGCAGAGGGAAAACGGTATACGTGTCCAAACCGCACAGTGACTAAAAGACAGCCGCGCGCGGCGCTAGATGTCGCTAGCTTTGTACAACACGTGGCGGTCTCCGAAATTTCAAATTACCGAATGCCTCTTCGTGACCGGCATCAGAGAGAAACCTGAGAGCGGCCACGCCGGCAGGGTGGCGCCGTAGATTTCAAGATTACGTTTACACGGATTATTTACGTGAAATCTACGTGATGTTTACATGATCTTTTTGCTACGTAGATAATTTAGACTTGTAAACTATAATGTAGGCTATTGTAAATTGTATCCAGAGTTGGGAACGTTATACCTTAAGGGGTTACACCACCTTGACCGCCTAAAAATCAATCAGTAACTTTGGGAATTTTTTTTAGGAAAACAATAAAAGTAACAAAAAATTCGTTTTAAGGTTTTAATAATACAAGTT